GATGGAGGATGGAGGATTCAGCGCCTAAAGCACCTCGTGGATGATGGTAGGAGCCGCCCCACTTCCAATTCCGAACGAAAGGAACGGTGTCGACACGGCCGCGGTGTCCGCCGGGCCGCGGACACGGACCTGTTGCCAGGAGCTGTCTTGTCTGATCTCTTGACTCCACATCAATCGAAAGAAGGATCCACATCAAGTTGACCACATCGACTCATGACTCCACATCAGTTGATGAGTCAAGTAAGAGGTCCTTAGCTGGGTATTTGGAGGATGTGAATGGGATGGGTTTGCGGCCTTCTGCAACCTGGACGGGCTAAACCAACAGCTCTGAGTGCTGCACTCCTGGTATTTGCGCGCCTGGGGAGGCTACAATTTGCAGATTTCGCGCCCAGTGTTTCTTCATTTGCAAAGGTCCGAGAAGGGTTGAGTGAAGAAATCCAGTGACAACCTGGGACGTATGGTGTTCAGATTGGTAACCTGGCACAGAAAATGAACGGACATTGCTTTGGCCAGAGGTGTCTGAGTTAATATGAGATACTTCGTTAATTCATTAGGACACCAAAATCGGTTCTGCTCTTTCCTGGAGAGGCCGACCGGATCTTCTGAACGACCAGATCTTCCTTCGGCCCGTCAATCCCAAAAACACATGGTGGATCAAAAACTGCAGTTTTCCCATGTGAACATGTTCTACGCCAAGCATGGGAAAACAGCTATATAATGATCTCCCTTTTTTTGACAGGTTTCGACAGGTTTCGATCCGCTTTTGTCGAGATGACCACTGATTCTTGGAACTTGCGGGTCATGTTCAAGCACCGCCCATCTCCAGGTTTCCCACCATGCAGGCGCGGCGTTCTTCGGGGCTCGCACTCCGCCACGGGAACTACAAGAGACGCCCAATGCTGTTTGACGTTTCAAGTGTTCTGTGGGAAGTCTGATTCTGAAGCAATAGGCTACCCCAACACCACGATCTTGTCAAACCTCTATCGACTGTTTTGTGACTAGGTTCTCAGATTGACCCTTTCTGTGTAGTCATTTGACGTGTGGATCCAGGTTCAGACCCAGTGGGGGACCTTTTCACCATGTTGTTGCACTTAGTTGGCAACATGCGGTTCTTTTCCTGCGCATCTGCGTTCTCTTTTTTTTACGGATTTTATCATGACGAACATTCCGCTCTTGGCACTTCTTCGGCAAAACCACAATAGTTCGATATAGTTCGTCTGTTTCTGCTGACTTCAAGCTACTCTTCCTAGAGGCGCAGGACTGTTGCAGGAGGTTGCTGCACCCACGTTTATGACGCTATGACGCTTGTGTGTCTGATCTGACGGCGCGACGACATGTGATTTCATTGCCGCAGAGCCGAGAACTGAGTCAGCCATTGTCCTCTTGCTCCATGTGTATGGTCACAAACACCAAAAAAGAGATTAGGTGCGTACATGAGTATGGTTGAAACACATCCCCATTCAACATTGCGAAAAGTGTGGGTCTATTGCAACAAATGCAATCAGCGCCGGCTCCATTTTGGTGGGTATGATCTCAAACCTTGCAACCCTCGATGATCCGAATTCCTTCAAATCAGGGGTATTCACCTGAAAGGAAACCTTGATCACAAAATGTTCAAACCTGATACAAAAGCCACCGTGCGCGATACCACCGTGCGAGAAATATGATCGCTGAATACTCTCGCTTTCCTGTCTTGACAAATCAAGAGCCGCACCTGTTTCTTCTTTGTGCAACAATGCCTGTTTCTCGGGTGTTCACACCGCAGTGGTTCATGGGACAAGAGACCTGTAATTGTAGCCTTCGAACGGGCTAAACAGGACTCCAGATGCTTCACAGGACGCACACGACTCGCTGGGATCGAATCCAAAAACGACACTCACGTCGCCTTCCTTTTTCGAACGGCGCGACGCGACGGCGCTGGACTGGATCCCTCGGGGATCAACCAGATGCATCATGGCCCGTCCTGCGGAGTGCCGGTGGAAGAGCGATCTGCGTCGCGGCTATCTGCACGGCAAGCTCTGACACTCTAGGTTGTGACGTCGTTGGGAAAAGAACACCTTTCGTGGATTGGTTTATATTGATTTTGTTGCTATACCAAGCCAAACAAAAGCATTGAGTATGATTGAAGAAACAAAAACATGAACGGACATTGTCACAGCAGTCTCTATGTGAGGCTTCATTTCTTTGACTGCCAGCTGCCAGGGGCCACGTACCCCTATATTTACAGTCTTGGGAAGAAAGGTTTTCGTAGGACCAACATGGACCAACTCCCTTTCCACGGAGGAGTCATTTCTTTTAGCCCGCCTTACCACCACAAAAACCGTAAACAAACACGAACCAACACGAACCAATTAATACATCCAAAACACCTCCGTCAAACGCTGCCCAAAACCCACCCCCCAGCACCCCCAGGTTCCCCGCCCCGCGACCCCGCTGGCGACCGGGGTGTTGGAGGTCCCGTCCCGTCCCGTCCCGTCCCGTCCTGATGATTTGAAAGAGCCCCATGATGTTGTTCTGCTTGATCGCCTGTCGACCTGATCCGGACGACCGATGTCGGCCACATCGGTGATGCGGTGAGAAGGGTGCGACGGGTGCGACGTGCTGTGTTTTGGGAGGTCTCAAAAGAACATAGACCAGAACATGGAAACCAAACCAGGAACTTATCACACACTTGCACTTGCTTGCGTTTTCGTTTTGCAAGTCCTTCCCTGCTGACCCATCATTTTGTTCTTTTTTCTCAAAGCATTCACTGTGGCCCGAAACACTCTGGAAAACGGTTGATCTCCTATGTCTCCTTACAGCACCCTACCGTCACGGATTTACCCGTGTCGCATGAAGTATAGACCTGTTTGAAGAGGTGTTTGTTTTGATGGCGGCTTCACACCGAAGAGCTCGAAGGACCTTATTATAGTAAATTCGTTGGGTATATCCATGTCATATCCTATTGAAGATCCTATTGCCAGGGCCCAGTGGATGATGATGATGATTCAGTTGCAGGCCTTTCTCCAAAATGATCAAAATGGCTCACTCAGCGTGAGCCGCCCCAGCAAGTCGTCATCGTCGCCCTCGTTCTCTCTTCGGGGACAAAAAGCGGGGCACCCCGACAGGCGGCCACCACACGGCTCTTGGCGTGGCCCATGCGGAGCTTCGCCGCCTGCGGGTTCGCTGGCTTTGGAATTCTAGAGTTTTGTCATAGCTCTTCAACACAAACACATACTATGAAGGGTCTCCCCACTGTGGATGGACCAACTATAGACCTTTCTTTAGAGAAAATCAGTCGACGAATCGGTCAACTATAGTAGATCCACCCTATCAATACCCAATACGAATCGGTGATCCCCCTAGTATTCCAAGGATGGAACTGTAAGATTATGCTTTGACATGCACATGATATGCCGATCAAACGGTGTCGTTCTCTTCGACATACGTATCGACGTACTGTCGAAGACTCTCCGCGTGAGTAGCATCGCGGAAGAGTGGCATCGCCTTTTGGATCATCATGTTGACTTCCTTCAGCTGCCTCAGATGTGATGTTGTTCTCTGCGGCGGCTCCACGAGCCGCTCAACCAACAAACACCGAATTTCTATCCTTCATGTGTATGGATTGGGAGGAACATGGTGCCTTTTCTTCCGCGAACGACCGGGAGAAACCATAGGAGCATGATCCAAATCACCCGACAAATCCAATTGCCACAGCAAGTACGTCCCTCGCCACAGCTCAAGTCCCTTTTCTGGCCCCTTTCTTCGATTCTGTGCCCAGGAACGCTAAGAGCTGCTGATGATTGTTGGCCCTCTTGTTGTACTCAGCGATTAAATCACTATTGGTCTGCTGCAAGCTGGAGAAGGCCTCAAAAAACTCTCGACCGGTCGGATGTACCCGGTCGGTCGTCGGTGGCCTGCTCAAACGACTCAAAACCAAAGACCATTCTTTCTACCGCGATCACGGAGTTCGGGTGGTTTATGGACACCCCTGACCATGTATTTTCCATCCAATCACCACCCGGAATCCGTGTGGTCAGGTGAAAAGACTGCCCAAATCCGCCCAGCCTTCTTGAGGTGTTGCATGTCCGACAGCATCCTCCACGCGCAGTGGCGGTCGACGCCACCACGCGTGCGCGTCTTCCGGAAAGGGGACCGTTTTTCGATGGCTTTGGGATGGCCAGTGCTATTTGATGAGTGGAGTCACTCAGGAAAAACACACCAATTCATTGTCATTGTGTTTAATTACTCGTTCTCTTCCATGTGACTTGGTCATTGATGTGCCATCTGAGCTCAATTGCACCTTTTCCCCGCGCCAACCCGCGGAGATCGGCCGCATCTCCTGTAATCCTCGGCCTTCACGATCAAGGCCTGGACGCGGTGGACGCGGGCGGGACATCCCATGCGGCTTCGACATCGTCCTTGGTGCCGGTGTTTTTTTGATTCTTGTTACTTTTTGTTGTTTCTTTTGATTTTTTTGGATGATTGTTTGTTAATTCTGACCTGCACCCCCTGATGGTCATAATTATTGATGATTTTGTTTGACTATTTTTTTTCAGGATCAGATGTGCTTTGTCTCGATTTTTCTTCGTTTTTTGGGGTGGGAGGTTGTTGGGAATCGTCGGAAAGACACACCTGATGACACTCGCGAAGGCGAAGGCGTTCACAGCCAGTTGGTGAGTTGTTGGGTTTTATGGAGCCATGCCCCTCACCCTTCGACGAATATAGGGCGATCTGGAGCCCTACGTGGGGCATGATGATGAGGTCGCGGTGGTGGTAGCCGAATACAAAAACCAGGGCATCCAAACCCAAAAGTTCACACTTGGCGCACCGGCCACCCCTACACCAAAACATACCCACCCCCAAGGGAAAGTATGCAGCCACTCACGCAGCACAGCCAAGCAAAGTGACAAAAAGACGAAAAAGGAAGAACCAGGGAGTATCACCAAGACCAAGCCATCACCCTAGACTGGCATATAGCCGTCTGATAGACGTCCCACTGGGAGTCTGGGGAAGACATGGCAGCCTGGCTGTCACTTCTTCGGGGTGTCTAAGGCTGAGCCGCGAGACGAACAAAGCCCGGCGTCGACGGTCACCGTACTTGCATCCCTGCTTTCACATTCAGCTATCGTTCCCCCTGTCTTGCCGTTCCGTCTTGTACCTTGGCTGCGCCTACCAAGCCCAACCAGACCCCCTTCAGATCAGCCACGAGTCACCACAGGGATGACACCGTAGGACCCAGAACCAGGAAAACCAACCAGCCAAAACAAACCAAAGCTCCCCAGCAACGTGCGGGTCAATCACGTTGTCGTTTCCTCCAAACCGGTGGCCAAGGGAAGAGCTGACCCTGGGGGACCGCTCATCGTCCCTTGAGCCTAAACCGGCATGGAGTCGCGTGCTCTCGTTCTCCCCAAAAACCTGAGAAGTGAACTCGAGGAAACACCTGGTGCAAACCGGAGAAACGCCGGACCCGAACGACCGGATTGGGTTCGCCCTTGGCACTACAAACGCAGAGAAAGCCAACCCGGAACCCAAGAGACCTGTGCCAAGGTTGCTCCAGTGGCGCGCACGGGAAGGGCCTGCGTGGGTATCCATGGAATATCTGGCCATGTGGGCGACGCTGAGAGGCATACCGACTCCTCCATCCTCCATCCTCACTGGCATACCGGCATACCATCCGCTTGCGTGGTACACTGCACTGTCTTCTCTCACTTTGTTCCCACTCTTGCGTCCAACGATCCAAAACTGCCTACGATTCAAAGCTGAGGCCCATGGTCTCTTTGACACCCCTCCAATGCAGCAGCGAGCTGTGGTTTCGGGCTTGAATTGTGGATACTTTTGAATTTTGAAGGTCACACAGACAAAAATACACGCGCCGACAAAATAGATGGAATGCTAAATAGAAGCTTGCGTGGGTTAGTGCCTATTCTTGGCCCGAATCACGTTTGAGAAATAGATGGTCCATTTCTGAGACATGCGCACCCCAACATTTCTCAGTCAACCTCAGGGCCTCAGTTGCAGCTGGCTTCCCGCCGTCTGACTTAGCCTTGGCCTTTGGCCGCCTGCGGTCTTTCGGTGGCAGGTTAGGTGGAGGCAGCTGAGGCAATGGATATTCCTCGCCGCAGCTGAATCTCACTGCCACGCTCGGTAATTGTTCACAAACCTTGCCAAGCCCGTGATGACCATTTAGCCGCAGCCTTGGTCCGTTTTCAACTTGGCGATTGACCTGGGAAGGCGTGGCTGGAAAAGGGAGCTGCCGCACTTTCAAGTGGCCAATCTTGGGCTGTAAGATGAGAAGCATGTCGCCTGAAAACCGCGGAGCCGGCAACAGGACTGAAGCACACGGGCGAAGGCCAAAAGCTTGTTGGTTGTGCTTCAGGACCCCACCTGCAGCAAGAGAAGAGGAAAAGAACCCAGACACCGGAACACAAACACTAACGCAACCAAGCGTGCCAAAGGACAATGGCCAAAACATCTAAACAAAAAGAGCCCTGGCCGCCAGGCCTGCCAAGGGCGTCAAGCAAGCTGCCTCTCCAGTGTGGGGGCAAATCAAAACGTCGACCGTGCCGACAGCCTCCAGCAACTTCAAGCTAAAATCCTCGTGCCTCAAAACACCGCATTTTGCCTGGCTTTTTGGAACTGCTGGGCTGGAATAGGAAACCACGAGCAAGGGCGCATGGTACACCAGGCGCTTAGTAGCCGATCTGTGTTGGAGTGTGGCAAGAGCCCACCAATACAATCCCCCCAATACTAAAAATATGTTGCCAAACAAACATTGAACGGTTTTCAGATGGTTCCTTGGTTGCCCGAATCCCCACCCACCAGCCGTTAAAGTCTCTCTGCGCAAACACTTGTCCTGCTATGCAGCTGCCTGGATGGAAGCCTGCTTGCCTAGCTGACACCTTTCTTGCAATACTCAACACTCCCCATAATTCAACGTTCCCTTTCCAAGAACTGCTCCCAGCACCAGCTCCTCATCGTCCTTTGGCAGCCGGTGCGGTGCCGTAAGAGAATCAAGATATTCTGAAATAAGAACTTCTGCAAAATCGTGACACTGGCAGTGGCAATCGTTTGAGAGTCAGGCACACCAGGCGCAGCTTCTGAAACTGATGCTTCCAAGCCTGGCACTTGCAAAGACCAGAACTTGGCGCCTTCTGACTGCTTGCGCTTGCCGCCTTTGAAGCTGGCCATTCGCCGCGTGACCCAGTCTGAGATCGCGCCGTAGGACACCAGTCGCCTCGTCCGCAGATGGATCTGGTTCAAGCTCTCCACAAGCTTCACCTCGGGTCTCAACCACTTGCTGCAAGTGATTGTGAACTTTCCCTAGGTGCGCATGATCATTGCTTTTTCAATGATATTGCCCAGTCATTGCTACAACGGTCCCGCAGGGCTGGCATTGCCTCAATCTGCGTATGTCTGTTGTCTGATCTGGTGTGATTTGTCTAAAATGTCTGCTTGGTGTCCCCTGTGTAGACGTCTTTCTGAAGTTGTTGCCTAATGTCTGGTTGGTGTCCCCTATGTAGATGTCTTGTGTTTGTCCTATGAGCGTGCTACTTTGCGTTTGTATCATTGCCTTTGCTATTGTCTTTGTGTCTGGCTATTTTGTGGAGAGCAGCTACACAAGGACAGTAGCTCAGTGGAGTGCTATTTGGAGCTTCAAGTAGAGCCTGGTAGAGTTGCCGAAATTTAATTGAAATGGTCCACTAACGAAATCAGATCGCCTGACCTCACGTCTCCAGGATCAGGCTGGGAGCCACACCAACTATCCTTGATCTGAGACTCTCCCCCAGTCTTATCCACCCTCTGGCCTCCAAAATGCTCACGGCAGGTGGACGGAAATGAGAAAAAGCAGCTCTGGCGGACACCGCAATCCAGAAAAAATGCTAAATCTGTGATGTATCATCCGGGTCCTTTATTTTTTTCACTTAGAACTGCAATTCATGAACCATGCTTCGATAGGTTTCATCCAGTGAGATAATCCACGGAGAAAGGAATGTGAGAACAGCAAGGGTTCCCTTAAGCACAGGGTTTGACACACACTGGGAATAACACACACACCAGAATGAAACCCCACACCGAAGCCTCACCTTGACCAGGTTGGCACTGTCAGCCATCTCAGCCGTCAACTTCATGCGGACGGCGTTGTACTCGTCCACCTCGGATGGGTGGCCAGGGCTGCGCAGCGCGACGATGTGACAACGAGAGCCTTGAAGGATTGGTTTGGGGCTAGTTTCTCCAGTTCCCATGAACAGGCTAGCACTTAATCTATCCAAGGGGGTGTGTATACATGTATCCTTTTTCATCAGACCGCCTACAATGACTAGCGGAACCATGGGGGTTGCGAGTAGAGTCTCTGACCATTTGTTAGAGCTCCAATGAACTGAAGCAAGCTTCATTGAATTTCTATCAAGCTTCATTGAACTTCTATAGATCACCATTGTCTTTTCCGTGAAACGGCCAAAGTGTTCGGTCAAGCGTGTCTCGTGCTTCTTCGCTCTCCTCCTTCCCCCCCCCCCCTGCGGTCCCCCCCCCCGTGGTTTTGGACCCCTTGTTTTCGACGAGGTGCTCGCGTGAGGACCTGTTGGAACTTCTCCATCTCTGCGGGAAAGTTCGCAGTACTCTCCAGCTCCGTCACCTGGACCACCCGACCAGCCGTGAATAACCCGGAGGACACCGGTCGAATGGCGTGGAGAAGGGCTGACATGGATCACCATCCGCATTGCGGATCCAGGCCATCAGGTGCATGGCATCCGGATCTTCGACACATACAATGACTATGACCAAATACTGAGGCCATCTTGGAACATGCACTGCTTATCACCATTCTCTTGTCTCTCCATTCTCATCCTCCATCATCCTCCCATATGTTTTCTTTTTTTTCCTGATTTTCAGGCCTCACCTGCAAGAAGTTGCAAAGGTCTTGCACCATTTCACCCGCCGTCTCCATGTCATCGGTACGGATGGTCATCAGCCCTGCCTGCCTGGGGGGTCGTTCCCGCCACGCGCGCGCGCTCGCGCGCGAGGGCGACAGGTGGTGTGACTTCTCCCCGTCTTTGGTGGCGTCCTGCGTGGTCTTTCTTAAGCCTTTTTGGTCCATGAGGGCCAATTTGGGGGGTATATGGCCCAAATATGAACTGTTTCTGAAGATGGTTGATCATTGACATCTGGATGTATCCTAGCGTACAGAATCAATCCATCTTTCAGATCAATGCAGATCAGTGATGATCAGGTGGAGGCTGTTTTAGGGTACCCCAGATGTGCCTCCAACAGCGCATCCGAGCCTTTCGTTGAAAGGACTCCTTTTTGTCCAATCCTTTGTGCTCACAGAGCTGGGTTCAGTCACTGAGGCACTGGCTCCTTGCTCACGGTGATGCACCTCAGCCGCTCCGCTCCGCTCGCTTTCAATCGGAGCTTCTAGGCCGGACCGAGCGCGTTCGGGTTCGCGACGGTCTCAGTGGAGGTCTGGGGCCCTCACAATGGCTCGTTCGTGCGAAGGGAGATGAAATTCACCTGCAGAAAGAGGTCCACAGGTCTTTTGGGAAGCACATGTTTTGCACCAAAAAGAAGGATCAAGCCGCTTGGCCGAGTCAATCACCCCTTTACTTTCGGACGTGTGCTCGACGAGATGACTTCAAAGACAACACACTGCGAAAGTGACCGTACTGCACAACACACAGCCAGAGAGACTGCTCCACTGAGCACTTTCGTTGATGCAGATTGAGTGTGGGGAAGACAGCACCTTCACAAACACCTGGGCCTCATCTTCTTTCATTTCTTCACCACTTGTCTAGTAGACAATATATATATATTATATTAGTCATGGACAACATCTATTGGGACTTGTCATGCTCGGCCCTCCTTGCCCTGTAAGGCAGGCTAAAGGAACAAGGGGGGGCCAACCCACACCATCAATTTCTGGTCCATTCCTCAGCACCTTCCGCACCTTCCAACAGGTATAACTGCAAAGTCGCGACGGTGGTGACCTGTGAAGTCGGGTGCCTGGTCTATGACCAATGCGCTGCCCCCCCGCGCGGGCGCTCCGCCTCCAGCACGTTGGCACCGCTGGGCGCCGGCCTCAGGACCGAGAGCGCCGCTGGCGCCCGGCGCTGGCGTGCTTTGTTTAAGACAGCGGCCACTCATACTCCTTGATTGTCCTATGGGTCTGTGGATGTTCCTTCTGTAAACACAGGATCTATGATATGAGTATACAGTAAAAAGGATATGACGTCACCTTTTTTTATGGACGGCGGTCTTGGATTCAATGGTGATGATATGGGTGTGGGCCTTTGGTGCGGAGAAGATCCTCCGAATTCCGACCTTCCAGTCATTGGTGCCCCACAGCCGTCAGGTGTGGTTGGACCCGGACAGCCGCCTGACAGCCGCCGAACCGCCGAACACAGCTCGCTGAGGGCCGAAGCATCTGTTCGGGAATCGAAATGAAGGAGCGCTGCAGCCACGACCTGACCCGGCTGCAGCAGCCGGACCGGCACGCGCGGTCGGTCAAGGCTGCCTGAGTCCGTCCGCCTGAAATTTCGAGCAGCCCATTTGGGATCAAAGACATGACTAGGCATGGCATTTGGAAGCATGCGATTTTTGGGGGGGGATTCTCTTGTTTGAATGGCAATTTCTTTTCTTCTAGCCAGGAATAGGAACTCGTATGCCATAAGTAGAGGTTTTTGCTGAACTTCGAATGACATGAAATCGATGGAACACGGAGTCATCAAAACATTGAGTACGGTACAGCCTCAACTCTAGGAGATCCTTGAGACAGATTTTTTCATACAAAATACGTGCTCCGAGCTAAACCACACACCTTCCAACGGAGAAATCCCTCAGACATCCGAACAGCCCCCCCCGTTCCGGCCACTTTTTGGAGGACATCCACCGTCCGACTCGCCCAACAAATCCGCACAGAATCGAAGCAAAGCTTGTTGGGTGGGGTGGGCAAGTGGCCTGACCATGTCAGAATCCACACATGTCTCCACCCAGTTGAGTGCGCCCGCCATCCTCTTGTCCCATGGGTCCAGACCAAATGTGGTTGGGCCGCTCCTCGTAGGCTGCAGCAGGTTTACAAGAAGAGTCCCGCTTGGAGAGAGGCCAAGTGGAGCCTTTGGCGTTTGATTTACCATAAGTGAGGCCCGTCAGCTTGGTAGCTTCTTAGCTGGTAGAAGTTTGTATATCGGAGGCCTGCCAGCAGGCTGATAGCTAGTGGTCATATGTGCGAAGTGCTAGTATGTTTCATATTGCATGTTGTAAGTTACCATGCAGCCCATCTAAGGGAGGGATACACAAGAGGAGCTCCGCACCAGTCAGAAGCTGCAGGGGTTGGCAGGCGCCATGACTTCTTGAAGCGACCCACCAGGACACTGAATGTTAAATCAATCTATAGGGATTATACAAACCCTACAGCTGGTCCCAAAACTCCTGCACCCTGTGAGATGAGGAAAAACCACGGCCTCTTCTTTTTGGGGGTCTTTCGAATCTTTTGATTTTCTTCGAGCTGGTTCCATGTTTCTCGTCTGTCTGACGTCTGAATCATCTGGCACGACCACGAACGCCTCTCCCAGGCTTTGCCGCGCCGGAGCGCGTGCTCTCCCTCTCCCTCTCTCTATTCTGTCTCTTTCTCACTCCGAGTATTGAGTATTTGAGTGAGTCAAAGACCATATTCAGATTGACATGTGGTGGGAATCACTTGAAGTGAAGTAGTTTTTGTTCTCCACATGACGTGAGTAAAAAGCCATTCATTCCTGCCTGCCTACCCTGCCTACCCTGCCTGTCTCTTTCTCGCTCCGCCCGGAGAGCTCCTGAACCACAAAGTTCACGGTTCCACTGGGCACTGGAGCTTCGTCCACCTCAGAGTCGCTAGTAGGCTTCGCTTTGGCTTCGGTCATCAGTACTAGTTAAAGTAAACAAATGAAGATCCTCCCAACAAACACCTGGAAGAAAGAACATCATTGCTGCAAAACAACGGAGGTCTCACAGAGTCTCACACTCTGACCAAACACGACCCATATTCCATGGAAAAAGCTCCGACATCTGACAGGTGACAAGGATCCCCTCATAGAAACCCAGGTCGACCACTGACACTTCATCGACCCAGGTCTACCGCGCGCCACCGCAGCTTCGGTGACAAGCGCGCCAGAGCCGTATGCTCGGAACCGAGCTTGACATGCCCAAGTGACAGGCCCGACCAGCTCGGATCCTTCTTGGATGAACTTTTGGAACCACCATTTGTTTCTGGTTGTTTGGGGTTCCAGGTAGAACATGTTAGGCATGTCTTTTTTCAAGATCCAGGTCTACCAGATACGGGTATACCGAGACCAACCAACCAGGTGCCTGATGATACATGGCGAACTTCGGCATCACGTAGTTCAGCTCGAAGACGTGATACTGGACCTCACTGAGAGTGGAGTGGGCGAACGCCGGCGTCGTGACAGGAACGACTGCCGTCCGTCCGTTCTGTTCGGGGTCACCGTGGAAAATGAGGATGGGCGGCTACTAGGCGTCCGTGCGCTGCTCACGGTGACACCCGTCATGGCCTTGATGCTCATGGTGGTCTGCACGTCCTTTCGCTCTCCGCTGCGTTCACCGGTCCGTTACGTTTGACCGTTCGGACGACGGTCTTCCGAGGCCGAAACAGAACGGAGAAGGTGAGGACTGGTCGTTACTGCAGTCGTGGCAGTCATGGGTCAACATGGTAACATGGTGGCTCATTGATTTGAGGCCAAGGTTGGCATGCTTCATGGTTCACTACTAAACTCTAAACATGCAAGTGTTCCTGTGAAAGCTACTGGATGGAGTGTCGGTCTTCAGTGAGTCTTCACACAGTTGCTGCATCAGACCCAAACAAGGCACAGGCATACAATAAAGCTGAAAAACAGGTCATGTTTCAAGACACTTAGCCAGCCCCAAACCAACAGAACTATGGATGTTTTTCGTTCTGCTTCAGTTTTACCACAAATGAATGTATCCCACGTGTACCCCGAAACACACACTGGGAAGAGTTGTGTGGAGGACCTTTTTAATGTTGGAAAAGGCGAGAACCTCCTAAGTCCACAGCCTACACACCCTTGAGAAAAAGCTTCATGGAGCAAGTGTTGAGCAAGTGTGCAATCTCGGTGCTCATTAGCCCTGTAACATTGAGTGACAGCATTACAAAACGGATTACTGTCATGTAATCCAATGTTTGACCTGTAACATTGAGTGTTAGCCCTCTAACATACCGGATTCGAGCGCTCCAAACCTTGACCATTGGGACTCATGACTGCATGACTGCATGACTCATGACACTTGAGGCCAGTCCATCATGACTTCCTCGCCGACCGCCGACGGCCTACCTACATTCATCGCCGTTCATCGCGCTTCGTCCTTGGCCGGCGAGATCTGCACGATGACATTGTTGGAGGGTGGCAACGGATGCAACATACAGGCCTCCACGCGTCGCGCACACACACACAAGAGACTTGCTGAGGTGATGCACGAGTACTGTTCATGGATATAGTATAATCCATCTTGCAACTTCGGAGATAACTATTAAATATATGACCGGCTAAAACCTCAGCCACAGACTTAGGAAGATAGCTGCTCCATTCTGTCAGTTTCATGTTTCGCCCTGCGTTAGCCCATGTTAGCCCTTTGGAAGCTCTGGAGTCCGCCACAGGGCTTCACACACCCACTCTCCCACCGATCTGGAACTCCACCGGTCCGTTCACCTCGCCATCGAAGAGGTGCTCAGCAAAGATCACCTGTCACCGCTGCAGGCCGAGGCCGCTACGACCGACTACGACCGACGCGCAGCCGGCTGACGGCCAGGCCTTTGTTGGGGAAAGCCCGGCGGAGTTGGTGGTGGAGCCCGTTCCATCGTCTACTTTGCGGGTACAAACAGGGGTACTTGCTAACAGAATGGCTTGTCATCAGTCCATGCGTATCCAATGTCTGCTTTTGCTTTGGATGACATGATCATGACGGGTTGCCTACCTTGAAGCCCATTGTCCAAGTCAAAGGCGCCTATTGGTCCTTCGTTTGGTCCAATTCATTCTGCCAGCCTATTAGTTGTGAGAGTGCGCCTTCACAGCAAAAGTTGCCCCCACAAACTAACACAAAAACATAGAACCCACATATTTCCTATAGAAGTCCCAAAGACTATTTGTGGCACCACTTAAAAGTTCATTTACAATAAAACATAGCCCAGACACTCCGTGGGACTGGCATATATCATATATATATATACACACACCTACATTGACCCCTTTTCAACCACCCCAATGTATGTCAATATGTACATGGAGTGTCTGGGTAGCGGCATAGTAAATCATGGACTCCCAGAAATCCGCCGACCCCACAAAGGCTTGAAGTGCCCTTGTGCTGCCCTGAACCCGGTTCTGGGCAGGCGGACCACCGCGCGGATCACGGAGTAGTTCGTGGTCATCAAATGCAGCTCCACCGTGCCCTGAAAGGCAGGGAGCCGGTTTGAGCGGAACGGAGGCCGGTGGGGAGAAGCTGTGCCGTTCTTTTTTGCGGCGAAGGGAAAGATAGGGAAGGGATGGGGAGGGTAGTTATTTGTTTACGTGGATGGGTCATGTTCATGGGCTACATGTACGTCAGTCATGGACGGTCTGCGCCTGGACGGTCAGCTTCCCACCAGCTATCGTTTTGGCAGGTGGATCCCCTGATGGGCCTTCTTCCACCGTGCACATGGCAAGAGCTCCACGAAGAGCTGAGCTGTTGACGTCGGGTGCTGTTGAGAGTACTGATGCCTTGACTGTTGAGAAGCTCCAAGACCATCTACTTTCAAGTCATCTATCTTGTATCCATACAACAGCCTGCCCAGGCGGGTTGGACAAAGCATCAACAACCTGGCCAAACCCATGAAGTGAACCTGTGAAAAACCCAAAGCGAACCACGAGTGGGCCACCAACGAACCACTCAACCGGGACGCCACGAGTCGCTCGACCCGCGACCGTCTTCGGACTCAACGGGACGCCCAACCGGACGCCGCACCGTGCCGGTGAACGGCGGGTGCTGTAGCCCGGGATCACATGGGATCACTCGAAGCGAAAAAAACAGTGAAGCAACTGATGGAAGAACTGCATTGAACGTTATAGTAGCCCAAAGGATCTTGGAAGAGACTGAAGAAGCCAAACAGATCCAAACCATCTTCTTCAAAGACCTTCAAAAGAACCAGTAAAAGAACCACATGGAGTTCTCTGAGATGGCCGAATTACCAATAGATTTGGCCGATTCCATGTTCAAGACTTGGCAAGCCTTCCAGGACCGTGGGGGACCTCTTGAACACCTGAGGACCTCACATGAGCTTTGTTGGCTTTCAACGAGGCGTTGAGCTTCGTATCGGTTGGAATCACCTCGGAGCTTCGTATCGGTTGGCCAATGTGGCCCTTCGAGGAGGCGGGTGGAGGTCACCTGTGGTCCCAGAACAAGTTCTCATGTTCTTGATTTGGGGACCACATGAAGACCACACATGTTCTACCACCACCTGTGGTCTTTCATGTTCTGAAAAACCCCATGTTCTTTCTTTTGTTCTTGATTTGGGCTTGACAAATTGTTCTGAGGACCACTAAAGAAAGGAGTTTGGAACAATGTGTCAAACTGTTAAGCATGTGTGAAAGCATAATGAAGGACAAACCACGTTCTGATGATGTTCTGATGTTCTTGGGTCTACTCACACCCACCAGATGAAGCCCACCTTTTCCCCCCAGTCCGTCGTTCCGTGCCGTGTTTGGTCATGTCGCTCAACGTCGGAAACGGTGCGGATCTGCAGGATCTGCGGATCTGCAGGATGTGTTGGAATGCGGGACTTTCCTTGTGGTGCTTCGGCGAAAAGAGAAACACAGCACCTGAGCGCAAGCCTGATTTAAGGACTGGTACCCCAGTCCAAAGACGCTGCGCGGCTTTGAAGTCTCGTGCTCCAAAGGTATACTCAATCGAAAGGTATACTCCCCAATTTGAAGGTCCTCCCATGTCCTCCAACCAGCACGGAGGCTCCGCCGACCCCTCGCGATCCCGCGGGACGTGGAGCGACCCCCCCCGGCTGGACTGGAGCTGAGCTCTCCACTCCTTGTCCCGTCTCTTTGCCATCTGCCGGGGTCGACGGGCCATGCGGCGACCGGGGGGGCAGGGGGTCGATGGGATGACGCCCCCGGTGTTCGGCCAAAGGTCGTCTTTGGTCGGTTTCTGGTGTTCAGTTTCTATGGGGATCAAAGAACATGCTCCCTTTGCGTGGACCTCGCACCAATTCAAAACCAAAAAAGTTAAATCCAAAGACATCGATCAGCAAGACATCTATCGCCACGGTTGGTCAGAAGCTCAGATCCAATAGAGAGGTTGTGCCCACAGGACTCGCTGTCCAGACTCTGATGCCCAATTCATTCCGCCGCCCTGGCTGTACGGCACGGCCTGACTTGTACTGCTTCAGCTGTTCCTTGAAGCTGGCCAGTTCCTGGTCGGTACATTCCGAACACATCACATGGAAATGGATGTCCTGGCCACTGGGATTTACCACTTTCCTCTATGTTAACAGGTGGTGTTCCACTTCCATGTGATGTGTTCTCCATGTGGGTCGCTCTTTGGCTCGGAGACCCCAAGAACTGACCGGTCGAGATGGAGATCCGATGGCTTTCACCCCAAAGGCGGCCAAGACTGGGCCTTATGAACAGCTATGCCAAGTTGATGTCTGCATAGGAGTATTCATCTCCCAAACACTCCATGTATATATTTACATACATTGGGTGGTTGAAAAGGGGTCAATGTAGGTATATATGGCAGTCCCACGGAGTGTCTGGGTATAGCATCTTTACCCCCACGGATGCGCTGGTCAAAAATCGCAAAGAACGCTGAGCAAACCAAGCAACTTCCAGAAGAGGCTCACTCGCATCATGGTTATCACGCCAAGAAGGGCAAGCTGAAAAGGAGCCCCTGTTGGGCACGTGCTGGTCGAATGGCACGTTGGGGCCTAGCGGCTCAACGGGCCTCCCCATATTTAAGTACCAAGCAGGGGTGGATGAAGAGACCCTGCCACATGACATGAGTGATGCATGTGCAGTGTTCGTCTGATGTCCCAACATAGCGGACTGCTCGGTCCCACCGTTGCTGGCACCGACCGGGACGACCCAGGGAACGCGGCACGGTCGAGTGGACGGTGTTGGGGCGAACATGGTGCGGTGCTCCGCCACATCCGAGCTCCACCGGGCGGAGCGCCGCTCCTGCGTGAGCTTGGCCTTTTGAGCCTGGAGGTCTCGCCAATTGTCATTCTCCTGGGAGCGAAACTGGAAAGCTGCGAAGAAAAGCCTGAACACTTCTGGCCGCCATCCTTGACCCCATCGGTCTCCTTCAAGGCCCACAAGGCCATGGTCGTAAGGGCTGGCTGGGGGTTCCCGAAACATGGCGACATCCGAAACATGCATTGTTGAGGAAACGAATATTCCTGAAGTACATTGCACCACCCAATAGGCCCTATACCACGAACACCGCATCACTGCCTGTTCTCATGTTAAAAGCTCACCCAGTCCTTCGCCTCTTGTGCAGCCACCTCAGCAGTTTAGATGGGAGGAGGATTCCTGTTGGGCTGTCCAACGTGTTGGGCTGTCCACGCACTGATCCACTCCTATCTGGATGAAGAACTCTCGTCTGGTCCAGGGGAGAAGGCCAAAAGGTCCAGATCAAAATGATTAAGTAGTTCGACCAATCCAAGATACAGGGTCGCCGGTGTAGCCTTGATCTCTATATATTATGCAACTGTAGTCATATTCATTTCTGGACCAACATCTTTGTTGATCTGTTCCACTTTCTACGCACCAACACACTCAGTTCCCAACGCCACTCCGGAGGCCACTGTGTTCAGCTCCGCTACCTCAGTGCTGAAGAGGTAGCTGCTTCGATGGAGAAGCTGCTGAGATACCCAGAGGCCTGGCTGTGGGAGATGAACACCGGGACACCCTGAGGTGACCACCAAGAATGAACAGAACAACCTGGGAGGGTCCAGCTAGCCTGCTTTGGGGCTCTGGGTTTGGACCCACGGCCCTACGCAGCCACTGCAAGCGGCCAGCCACCCGCTGTAGCGAGCCAGCCACCCGCTCAGCTTCCAACTGGATGGCAGCCAGCCACGCACGTCGCCCTCGGCCAAATTTCACCAAAGCTCAAAGAAGATCCAAGTGAATGAATGGATGTGCAAAATCAATGGATGTGCTCCAAATGAATGGATTCACCTAATTTACCTGGGCCAAATAAATGGATGTGGTCCAAGTGAAGCGATTGGATTCGATTGAGATGGCTTCACCATGTTTCACCTTTGCGCTGCACGCAACAAATCTCCATCCTCAATCCTCTTGGCCAATTCGCCAAGACCCAGTAAGAATGAAAAGGGCAAAAAGGACAGTAGCTTATCATGTAGCTCATGTTCTAAAACATGGAAAAGGAATGCAGTGGCTCACATCACGCTGCATAGGTTGCAAGTCTGGTCCTGTGGTGCAAAGTGCTCATCTTGCTTCAAGGCTTCTAGGACTTTCAACTGCTTCTCCTGAAAGTCATTCACCCAGCAGTTGTTGTTCAGCATTTTGATTGGAGGAGGGACGTGCGACTCATACCACTGGAGCATCCCTTCCTTGCCCTTCCACTTGGCCATGCAATACATGATTGGAGGTAAAAGCCGCTTGTTGCCATCCAACCCAAGGCTCTCCAAGATCTTGGTGACTAGAGCTCCTTCTTCTTCCTGTGAGAGACCACAGGAGTCGAAGATCTTCGGGTAGTCCCGCTCCTCCTCAGCGAGGTGCTCTTCCATAAAAGCCACCATCTCCTTGACCGCGCTTTTGAACTCGGTCAAGGCGCTTGCATCGCCTGTTGCGATCGAGGCACGAAAGCTGGCGAGCCTCTCCAGTTGGCTGATGAGTTTCTCGTGGTCAGATTTGATTTTGGGAAAGGGATCTGCCAACCCCATGCTCTTGCACTTCTCAAGGATGCCCGGGTTGTAAATCTCTTCTTCACTGCGATGGTGTTTGTAGATGCAGGGGATGTAGTACTGGTCCAAGAAGTCGAAAAGGACCTTGGTCTTCCAGGAGCTCGTCGGCTTGGACAGCGGATCGAACTCCTCCATGATCTGGAGCAATTGGCTATTCCACCAGCGGATGGCCTCATGGGGAACCAGCAAGGCCTCGTCCTTCCAATCTTTTGGCTTCTCAACCACCCTGGAGCTTGGCTTTGGCACAGCCGGATTGGGCCACTCAAAGGATGCCATGATGTGGCCTAAAAGCGCTTGAGCTTGAGCCACTGCTTGACATCGCCACAACCTATCACTCGCAAAAGCCATTTTGCATGTGTTGTCCTAAGTAATTCAAGCATCAGTTGATATGAAAACCCCAGCCTTCAAGCAGCAGCCAACACCCAAGAGCCACTGACCTATCTAACCTACACACTGAATTTACATCCAAAGCATTTGGACCCCATGGGTCCTCTTTCTGTCCGCATCCTTTTGCACGGAAAACAGCGATCTGCCACTCCCTCTCCTGATTCCTACCAACCTCCACCGCTTTCGCGGGACCCGCGGCGGCGGCTGGAACGCTCGCGCTCGCTCCCACCCGCCGCTTCCTCACGCCCAAGTTGCCCGAGCCCTCCCGCCGCTTCCGAAAACGTTCGTTTTGGCCCGCCTCCGAGGTCAAGCACATCAACGTCTCACGTCCATCCAGGCGATAGTCCGCGTGCACCAAGGCCTGGGCGCCGCAGCTGCCGCGGGTGGGGGCCGTGCAGGCATCTTCTTTCGGGGCGTTTTTGGGGGTGTCTTTCCTTTTCGAGGTAAGATAGGGTATGAAGATGTTAAGTACTTATGAGTGACCCAAAGAAACCAAAGGGTGCATTGCCCAGCTGGACGAAAGCCTGAGCACTACAGGCGAGGCAGCTGGACTTCAGGGTGAAGCCATGTAAGACACTTGAGGCCAGGGGGAGGAGGTCGAAAGCTAGCCGAATCGCACCGGATGTACTAGTTACATAGTCGGCACAGCATGTAGTGAGTACATGTTCTGGGAGGAAGGTTGCTATGTACATACTTTGCGCTAAAGAATGTAAATGTGACATCGCTGACTGGGAAGGGTACATTGGAACAACCCGGGTGCACTCGTTGGCAGGCACGAAGATGCGTGATCGGCAAATCTGGGGGGTAAATTTACCCCCCGCTTATGTATGCCTTGAGCCGGAACGAGGGGTAAGCATCACAAGGACTGTGCATACACTAGGGCGTCCGTAGTGTAGGATAAGCACTGGTAAAAGGATGTAAAAGGTATCAGGAATAGAGTGTCTTGAGGAAATAGCCGGTGTATGGTTATAGCAAGCCTGGGGAGTAAATTTACCACCCGCTTATGCATGCATTAGGTTAGAAATAGGGGTAAACAACTTGTAACGGTGAAGTACAAGTCCTATGCAGCAAGCAGCAGCCAGCAGCAGCAGAAGCAGCCGCCTGCAGCCAGCAGCCAGCAGCAACCGCCAACCAGCAGCCAGCCAGCAGCACCACGCAGCAGCAGCGCAGCACCAAGCCGCAGCAGCAAGCAGCAAGCAGCAGCAGCAAGCAGCAAGCAGCCAGCAGCAGCAGCAGCAGCGGCGCCGTCAGCAACAGCAGCAGCAGCAGCACCAAGCCGCAACAAGTAGCAAAGCAGCAGCTACAAAAGCGGCAACCAGCGGCAGCAGCAAACAGCAGAAGCAAGCAGCAGAGCGGCAGCAGCAGCACCGTTTACACCAAGCCACCGTTTACACCCAACCAACCACGTTCACACGTTCAACCAACCCCCGCTACACGGCGCAGCTGGGAGTCGAACCGAACCGTGGGGGGGGGGGGTTAGCGTGGCCCCCCCCCTTAGTGTGATATATCAAGCTTTAAGGCACACAGCTCATCCCACTACCAATTGCTAAAGCAAAGAAGAACTCAGCTAGCATGCTAGCTTTCGTGACATACCCAAACGCTGCATGGGACTGCCATAGGACTGCCGATCAGTTGGGGTGGTGGTTTGGGGGGGGTCAATGTATTAGGCATATTTATAGAGGGCGGCGGAACTGGCGGGGGACTATATTATCTTTAGTTCTTTTAAATCAAGATGTTATCGTTTTCGGGACGCCCGTGGTCCCCTGTTCTGTATTAAACACCAGTTCCATGAAGTCGTGTATGGGATATGGAAAGTGGACCACTTCTCGAACACCATGGCTTCACCGGACCTTTCTTAAAAAGACCGCGCTGCAGTTGGGATAGGTTGACCTCCTCCCGTGTGGTCGTCCATTCTCTTCATGTTCAGTGCCACGCCGCACCGTGAGCCGTCCAAAAAAAACGCATCGTCGACCTCGTGGGCCGTCGGGGTGGGTAACGACCCGCGATGCCGATGGCGTGGAGAACTGAGTGCTCCGAACGGCCACTGGAGCTTGAAAGTAGTCCTTGCACATGACCTGCCATGGGGTGAAAGACGCGTCAAACTCTGCGACGTCGACGAAGCCGGTTTTCCGGAAGGTCCCACACACAATCTGCTCCCACACACAGCAGCTGCACAGCTGCAGGTTGTCCCAGGAGTTCATTCAAGTGCAAGTGCGATCTCTGATTCATGATTTTGGGATTGTGATTCCATCCTAAACAGGTGCAGGATCCTCACTCTCTCAACAGGTGCAATGTTTTTGGGTCCCAATGTGTCGCAATGAAACTGCCAGGCAAAGACTAGTCTGAAACATCCTCACTGAATGGCCAAAACATCTACATATAATACTATGTCTATACCATCCTTATCATAGAAACATGTAAAACAGCTTGATAAGACCATTCCCACCCTATCATTTGGCTGCGGAAGAACAATACCCGCAGCAATACGCTGCAGCCACTCTCATTGGTTCCCAACCAGGGCCTCGCCGCTCTTCTCGTTGCGGACCTCCACCTGACGCCGCAGCGGCGTCCCGTCCACCAACGCGTCAGAGGAAGCAGTTAACATGTTGTAATATATTCAATACCAGGACCCTCCGACAGGTCACCAATTGAGACCTGTTAGGGTCCAACAACCCTCAACTAGCAGCCTGTTGGAGGGTCCTGGTATATATTGAATGAGTGTCAATATCGACAACATGTCATATTGACATCAGTTGTTCACCAGTTTATAACATTGGATTATACATTGACAGTGTAACATGAACAGTCACAGTGTTGAGATAACACTGAGGACAGTAACAGTGTTATGACACTGATGTCAATGACTCTTCCCATATCACATGCCATCACTGGGACATCTTGGGGCATGTAGCTTTGGTCATGAAGCAAAAAACGTGTGGCGGTTTCTCTTTGCTTTTCTTTTGGATATCGGATCTCTTAAGGATGCAACCAAAAACCACCCAACCCGACGGATTGATGAGCTCTCCGGAACAAGGCCGTGACCCGGTGAACTGCGCATGGCACCCACACAGCGCATGGCCAGGACTTGGTTCAAAAAACGTCAGCATTTTTCTAGCCCAAGCCGCACCTCTTCATGGATGGATCCTTTCTCGACCAACGACCAGCGTTTCAGGACTGCGGACAGCTGTGGAATCTCCACTTGGGAAGAACATTCGGAATGTTCGGAATCCTGAATTCACCACATTCAGTGGATTAACAGCCAAGTGGATTGAACACAACCAGGTGGATTCCGCACAAACATCCTCGCCACTCAGGTGCTGATCGGAAGACCACGCTCGCTCAGGCGCGTCACGCAGTCCACGAGCCTTGCCATTCTCCCATCCTGCAATCAGCTCGGGAACCTCATTGACGTGCCAATCGCCGCGTGTCTTTGTTCACGCGCGGGAAAGCAAATTGAGCGCAAGAATGTTCAACATGCAGGCCGCAGCACCCCATGATATGTAATGATTCCTGCTATAAATACCACAAACGCAAACTAATCAGTGCAAAAAACTAAGCAGTCGACTGCTAGAGTCCTCCCAGGCTGGCGCTTATGCTAGAACTTTATTCACTGGAATCCGTTCCTAGACTCCTATAACTGAAACAGGCGCAGCTCAAGGAGCACAGCTCTCGTTCCAAACATGCTGTGCGTTTCCCTTGGGCTCCAAACGCCGTCGTTGTCCAAGTCGAAGCAATCGATACAGTTGACTCGATTCTTCGACTTCACCTTGATCGACTTAGCGCTTCGTGAACACTTGAAGAAGCAGTCGACTGGATGCGGGACAGATCACAAGTAACCATTGTCCAGTACCATCGAAAGCACGCCACGAGGAACAACCAGCTAAGCAACTAACTTCTGCCAAGGCCATCTGTATGTGCTACTCTTAGAGGAGCTTTGTGGACAGCTACAGGAAGATAATAAAGTGCAACACTTTCACTTGAAAGTGCAGGTCGCCGGCAATGGTACAGTCCCCTTTCAGGACACGGTTTCCCATCACCTATGCAGCGTCTCCTCCCCCTTCCTTACTCTCCCTGGCACAGTTGAACTCTCCCTGGCACAGTTGAACCCCCCCAAACACACCAGCAACGGGCTAAACTCGTGCTTATAGATGTGCTTCGTAAAGAACCTGCTATCCACTTCCACCAACATCAAGGCGCATCACGCGCATCTGAACACATCGATTCGTTTGTCTGGAACCCATGAAGGTCGGTGACCTCGTCCCCGGTCACCCGCACCGTTTCTCTCTACCGGTCGTCACCGACGTCGCTTCGCCCGCGCGGTGGGGCGGCGCACTCGCCATGCACGTGAAAGCTTGTCGTAGACGCCCACGGTGCCATGCCTGCTAGACACCCCGGAAGAGTTGTGCAGTGAAAGACCCGTTTGCACCACTGAAGGGGTCAGGAGCTTTCATTTTGACCTACTAGTCAGACCATTTGGAAACTAGTCGAGTGGACTTCCAGAAAACAGCTTATGCATGCTTTTTTGCGACCTTTCTTCCACCCAGGAAGGAGGAAGACTGTCCCAATTCAGGAAGTGTTCAACCAAAATCCCAGAATCGATAGGCATATATTATACTTATTCAGGGAGTCCAAAGTCCAGGGGTGCCCAATTGCTCCACTAAATGACGTGAATGTTGGCTCTCTATCAGGAGGTGCGCATTCACCAAACGCTGCACTTGATGGCCTTCCGTCCAATGGGTACCACACAAAGAACACCCACCAACCCCCCCCCACCACCGCATCACTCCCCGCGCTTGCGCGCGCTTGCGGCGCCTTACCCAGACCGAGCTAGACGACTGAGGCCCCCCGACATGAGCGCGTAGGCGAAGCGACACTTGTGCAAGGGCTTGATGCGGATGACCACATCGGTCTCGGTGATCTCTTTGAGGACTTCCTGAGCGGCGACGCTGCGATCTGAGACGGACGGAGAGCGCGCGGGAGAACGAACGGGGTGGTGTGCGCCACCAGCCAAGTCAACTGGATCTTCATACATCTAAGAGCCATCTAAGAGCCATGAAGGAGTGGTTCATGGATACCCCTTAACCTCTAAGGAGCTACAATTCGACCCTCCCCCGAAACAACCGGGGGCGTTGGCCACATGAACGACTGCGCCCGCAACGACTCGCGAATCCGGGTCCCGACGGTGGGGCGGAGCGTGGGGAGTCCAGGGTCAGAGTCCGCTCAAACAAGGCCCCTTTGGACTGAAGTCCAGATGCAACACAGATTATACATCATGATGCATATTATATAGGGCCTAAGCGGCCTAAGGAACAACAAATTGTACACATGTTAACGGATCCCTTGTATTCAACACCTCCCTTTCCTATCTATTCCTGACATGGGAACCTGTTGGGGTCTTCTGCTTCTTGCATGGACCCACTACCGCTCTATGTTTCTTTCAAACCTGGCCCGGCTCTCCTTCTCATCCTCATCTCCGCCACCGACTTCCTTCGGTTTTCGCGCGACCCGACCAACACACGAACCGGTCCGGCGGACCTCCGACTTGAGCGCGCGGATCTCGAAGTCTTCGGTGCCCACCAGCAGCTCCGGGTGTCCGTCGTCGTCCACGTCCTGGCGCGAAAGAAGAAAGCGCGCGATCTGTCCATGGGGTGGTGGCGACGGCGAAGGTATAAATTAAGGTATATATACGTATCATCAAGCATAGCATTTGGATTCTCAGAGTGGGAATCATCAACTCTTTTGAAAAGGCTCGATTCGGTGAGGCTCGAAAACTCGACGGCGCCACGCAAAAGGCCAAGGAGCTCACATTATCGCCTGAAGCGGGGCGGGGCGCGTGCACGATGGGCGTGGGATTGGGTGAGTCTGTTGTTGTTCTTCTTTTTCTTGTTCTTCTTCTTCTTCTTTTTATTCTTCTTCTTCTTTTGAACACCACACACACAGAGATTTAGGGAAAAATATATAACCAACACCACAGAAATGCGGCTGATCCCGGATTCATAGTCTACTCCTCTGCTTCAACTGGCTCTTGGCCGCACCGGCGCGATCGTCGCCTGTCACCGTCCAATAGAGCTCGCTCCCTTCCGCGTCGAAGGCCTAGCAGCTAGCAGGTCAGCGTGGCAACCACCAGGTCGTCAGTGCAGCGCGACTTAATCATCTATTTGGTGTCAACCTGAAGTACGTAGAAGATGGGAGCATTTAGAACCATTATATCAAATTCTCTCCACCAGATTTGGCGGATCAGTCGATTAAAAATGGTCCCCGAGTTCCAACATGACCCAACATGTTAAAATCGAACAAACCGACAAGTCAGTTGGAGCTCATTACTGGACTTGGTCATACAATAACACTACTCAGTTGGACGTTTTCATGACCAGTTTTCTGGGTCGGACTGGTTCCAGAAAGGGAACATATCAGAGTCAACTGACCTCGCGGTGGCCCGTCATGTGCTGCTTCATCGCTATGTGGAGCAGCCGGTGTCACCGAATGAATGTCCGACGGAAGACAGATCTCGACATGTGGAGATATTCCACAAAAAGAATATACAAAACATATTGACGTCTTAAATGGTTTGCGGGTTCATGGAGTTTCCACACCTGTTCGTATGAACCGCTCTCTCTGAGGCGTTCCATAAAATAGTTCCTCTCCACCACAAACCGGGCACCTGAACGGAGCAGTTGCCACCGACGACACACACGGGCTGTTCGATGGCAGGAAGATGTCCGAAGGCAATGACATTGACGCCTGGGGCATCGCAGCGTCGCAGCGTCGCTGGGCGTGTTGGCCCGATGATCCGCTTGTGGAAGCAGAAGAAACACACACACATGCCGAAAGCATCGCTGGGAAGTCTCTGCAAGCAACAACCGAGAAAGGTGACAGCTCACGAATAGTTAACTCATGGAATCGTAGAAGACATATGAAAATATCATTTGGACACATTCCCATAGGATCCCAGAAAAAGGGTCCAGGTGAGGATGGTTGGGCATAGTACTTCTGATCTTTGGATTGCAGTGGTGACCTGGTCCAACGTCCAACAGTGGCGACGTCCTCCAGCCGGTATTCCAGCTGACCATCCCAGCTGACCGACCGCATTCGGCAGCCCGACCATCGTGCACTTCCTTGAAGAAGAGATCGGCATTCTCCTGGAGGGAGCTCGACGCGTTGAGTTCGACGCCTGAACCTCACGTTCACGTCTTGGAGCGTGTGTGACGCCGGTGGTCAACGACCAAAGCAGTCACAAGAGGGTCACAAGAGGTCAACAAGAGGGACCTTTGGTGGGAGGCACGGTCCTTGCACCTCCCTCTATATTATATATGCCATCCTATGCCATCCTCTTTCCTCCCATGCTCATGCAAGAGGCATGGCATGCCCCGAATCCGAAGACTCTTCCACCTGTCACCATGACAAGGCTTTAGGGTTTAGCATGGATAGCCGGGTCTACCGTTGACCCCGGCCCGGCCCGAGGCCCGGCCCGGCCCGGCCCGGCCCGTGCGAACTCCCTTCCCCGGCACAGCCGTCAGGAGGCCAGCTGACGCAGTGGGCAAAGGAAGAATCTATGCATCAAGATGTATCCACAAACATGTTAGAGGAGGGATCGGCAAAGTGCTTTTAGTCTGTGCGAATAAACCCCTTTCTACTGTTGTCGGTCTACGGAGCTGGAATGGGGGTTTAGTTTTGATTAAACCCTTTTTGGTCGATTGATGTTCATACCCTTGGGGTTGGGGTTTGGATCAGGATGTAAACCCTTTGTGATCGAGTGAGGGCCCTTACTCGACCAAAAAGGGTTTAATCAAAACTAAACCCCAAGTACAGCTCCGTAGACCGACAATATTAGAAAAGGGTTTATTCGCACAGACTTAAAAACCAGCCGATCCATCCTCTATAAAGTGTTTGTGGGTTTCTTCCTTTGCCCACTGCGTCAGGTGGTCTCCTTACGCCACGCCGGGGCGGTGGATTTGAGGTGTGGTTTGGTGGATGACCTACACAAATGGAAGGACCGCAGTGGACCGGCCCGGACCGCCCGGACCGACCCGCAGTGGCCCGGCCCGCGGTGGCCCGGCCCGCCCGGACCGGCCCGGACTATCCATGGTTTAGGGTACCTGCTACTGACCACGGAAGAACCTGGGTAACCTGGTTGACCTTTGCTTCAGTGTTCTGCCACGGGCGCGTCAAGCGTGCCGTTGACGGACGAGTCACGGATCAACGACACACAGACTGGACTCATCCATTCACTGCCGGAGACGCAAGTCGACCCCCAACACGTGCCTTTTTTGTTGGCGACCTGGATGGACCAGGAGGGACCTGTGACCCGACCGGCTAGCGCAAGCTATGGTTCTATATCCTTCAAGCGGAAACGAAGAGACACCCATAGCGCTACCACCGGGGCAGTTCACCGGGACCTGTGGACCAGACCTGTGCGACACATCACGCGAGACCGCCCAAGCTCCGCTCCAAACACGGCGAGACGCCTCGACGTCGTAGACCATGAGTGACGTCTGGGTGCCCACCATCAGCACATCGCGCTGGAGCGCCGGGTTCAACATGCCGGTAACCACCTGATGGGAAGAACGTGAAGGAACGCAAACGCTGCACTGGTGGTTTGAGACATTTAACTACTGGCAGTACTTCGCAGCAACCAGGACAATGATCGTTGCCCCATTGCGGGCAACGTGCTTGATGCCCCTCAACAGTGGATGATGCGGATCGATAAAAGGTATGCTACAAACAAGCATCTACTGTAAACACATCTGGGTTGGTCCGTGACGCGCAAGGCATCATCCCTATGTTGAGTCCTGCAGGTCACTTCATCATCCCTTCCATTCCACTGATCGTCAACTGAGGAGGTGGCGGATGTGATCTTGCGGTTGATGTTCAGAAACATCACCTGCTCGTTGTAGCGGCGCATAGCCACTTTCTGGGAGAAAGGATGAAAAAAAGAGTAAATGACATCGCCTTGGTTTAGATTATATAACTCCTCTTGGAGCATCACCTCAGCATCACAGAGTGTTGTTCAAGTATGCCCAACTCCTACAAACAGTGATGTACGAGGAAACCAAGAACCGTGCAGCTGGTGCAAGGGCTCCTCTCAGCCTTTCAGGTTTGGGTACCTCCATCCCCAGCGTCTTAGTTGCTGGAGAACTTGCGCATGAACAGCCTGAACTTGAGTGGTGCCACTGCCTCAATCCTTTGCCGTTCAGAGACCCCTTCGGGTGGTTTTAACCACACCAAATCAGATTTGCCCTTCAAACCCTTTGCCTCCATGTGAAATGTTCACTTGCCCTCCAAAAAAAATGGGCCCCACATCCTGCATCCACCCAACCACACCACTCACCACTCACTCGCCCGCAGCCATCTCGCGCCGCCCATCGCCCGCGCAGGTCACTTCGCCTCATTCTGAGGGTTCTCAACGCGGTTGTGAGGGCAATGGATCAGCACCTGCAGTCCATCTCACCCGGCCGAACCGCGAACGAGTCGACACGGCCTCCCGTCGTGTCGTAGGCGTTGGGGGAGGGGCAGCGTCCCCACAGGAAGGTTCGGAAATTAGACGACTAGTCTACCCCCTTTGGTTGGGGAGTCTCCCCATTACCCAGACACTCCTTGAGACTGGTATATTTACCGATCAGTTGGGGGGGTCTGGCTTGATCGGCAGTCCTATGGCAGTCCCATGGAGAGTCTGGGTTATCTATCAGATCCATCTCCCGATCCACTGAACCTCCCACCAGCAACTCAACTCACATCTTCACCGACTCGTTGTGGGTGATCGACCGACCGCGCACCTTCCCTGCGGTGGTTCCAGCAGAGAGGCAGGGCCGTTTGCCTGAACTCCCCACAGCCGAGGCAGGGCAGTCGAGTTGGCGGGAAAGAACAAGCGACACAACTGGGCAAGACATCGGACAAACCATGTGGATTCAAATGAGAAGTCCTTTACTCAGGGACACATGCTCGGACACATACCATGCTCGGAAAGCCTAATTCTCAGGGACATACCATGTGGACTCAGACCGTCTAGTCCTTCTTTGGTGGCCAGCTCCCCACCTGCCAGGTGAGGGTTGTTAGATTTTATCACAGTTGTTCTTCCTCCTCCTTCCTTCCTCCTTCCTCCTTGCTTCCGCCTCGCCAATCTTCATCGCCAATATCTGCTTCGCCAATCTGCTTCGCCGATCTTGTCTGGCCAGCTCCGGATCGCAGTGTGCACCCCTGGACCTCAACCGCAAGGATCCCCTCGCAGTGTGCACCCCTGGACCTCAACCGCAAGGATCCGATCGCAGTGTGCATCCCTGGACCTCAACCGCAAGGATCCGATCGCAGTGTGCACCCCT